CCCTGGGGCGCGCGTCTGGCGTCCGGGTGGCGCTGGCGCTGGAGGCGGCCGCGGGGACGTCCTCGCGTTACCGGTCGCCTCCGTACCCGCGCCAGGCTGGAGCGGGAATGGCCCGGCGGGCCCGGCGGGGCGCGGGTGGCAGCACGAGCCCACAGTTCCCGCTGCCCAGCTACCAGGTGTCGGTGCCCGAAAACGAGCCAGCGGGGACGACGGTCATTGAGCTGCAGGCGCAGGACCCGGACGAGGGCGACGCGGGGCGCCTGAGCTATCAGATGGAGGCACTGTTCGATGAGCGCTCCAACGGCTACTTCCTCATCGACGCCGTCACGGGCGCAGTCAGCACGGCCCGCGCGCTGGACCGCGAGACCAAGGACACGCATGTGCTCAAGGTGAGCGCCGTGGACCACGGCTCACCGCGGCGCTCGACGGCCACCTACCTTACCGTCACGGTCAGCGATACCAACGACCACAGTCCTGTCTTTGAGCAGTCCGAGTATCGCGAGCGCGTGCGGGAAAATCTCGAGGTAGGCTACGAGGTGCTAACTATCCGCGCCACCGACGGCGACGCCCCCTCCAACGCCAACATGCGCTACCGCCTGCTGCAGGGCGCGGGTGGCGTCTTTGAGATTGACCCGCGCTCGGGCGTTGTGCGCACGCGGGCGCCGGTGGACCGGGAGGAGGCGGCTGAGCACCAGCTGCTGGTGGAAGCTAACGACCAGGGCCGCAACCCGGGCCCGCTCACCGCCACGGCCACGGTTCACATCACCGTGGAGGATGAGAACGACAACTACCCGCAGTTCAGCGAGAAGCGCTACGTGGTGCAGGTGCGGGAGGACGTGGCAGTGAACACGCCCGTACTGCGCGTGCAGGCCACCGACCGGGACCAGGGCCAGAACGCCGCCATCCACTACAGCATTGTCAGCGGGAACCTCAAAGGGCAGTTCTACCTGCACGCGCTGAGCGGCAGCCTGGACGTCATCAACCCCCTGGACTTCGAGGCCATCCGGGAGTACACACTGCGAATCAAGGCTCAGGACGGGGGCCGCCCACCGCTCATCAACTCCTCGGGTCTGGTGGCCGTGCAGGTGCTGGATGTCAACGACAATGCCCCCATCTTCGTGAGCAGCCCCTTCCAGGCGTCCGTGCTGGAGAACGTGCCCCTGGGCCACTCCGTGCTTCACATCCAGGCAGTGGACGCCGATGCCGGGGAGAATGCCCGGCTGCACTACCGCCTGGTGGACATGGTCGGGGCGGGGGCTGGCGAGGGCTTGGAGGATGCCGGCCAGGGCCAGGCCTTCCCCTTCCAGATCCACAATAGCACCGGGTGGATCACCGTGTGTGCCGAGCTGGACCGGGAGGAGGTGGAGTACTTCAGCTTTGGGGTGGAGGCTGTGGACCACGGCTGGCCTCCCATGAGCTCCTCAGCGAGCGTGTCCATCACAGTGCTGGACGTCAATGACAATGACCCGGTGTTCACGCAGCCTGTGTACGAGCTGCGCCTCAATGAGGACGCGGCCGTGGGCAGCAGCGTGCTCACCCTGCAGGCCCGAGACCTGGATGCCCACAGCGTGATCACCTACCAGCTCACGGGAGGCAACACACGGAACCGCTTCGCGCTCAGCAGCCAGAGTGGCGGTGGGCTCATCACGCTGGCCCTGCCGCTGGACTATAAGCAGGAGCGGCAGTACGTGCTGGCGGTGACCGCGTCCGACGGCACCCGCTCACACACCGCGCAGGTCTTCATCAACGTCACCGATGCCAACACCCACCGCCCCGTCTTCCAGAGCTCACACTACACAGTCAGCGTCAGCGAGGACCGGCCCGTGGGCACCTCTATCGCCACCATCAGCGCCACCGACGAGGACACGGGGGAGAATGCCCGGATCACCTATGTGCTGGCCGACCCAGTGCCGCAGTTCCGCATTCACCCCGACAGCGGCACCATCTTCACCACCACGGAGCTGGACTACGAGGACCAGGCCGCCTACACGCTAGCCATCACCGCCCGGGACAACGGCATCCCCCAGAAGTCAGACACCACCTCCCTGGAGATCCTGATCCTGGACGCCAATGACAACGCGCCCCGCTTCCTGCGGGACTTCTACCAGGGCTCCGTCTTCGAAGATGCACCGCCATCCACCAGTGTGCTCCAGGTCTCCGCCACGGACCGGGACTCTGGCCCCAACGGCCGTCTGTTATACACCTTCCAGGGCGGGGACGATGGCCACGGGGACTTCTACATTGAGCCCACATCCGGCGTCATCCGCACCCAGCGGCGGCTGGACCGGGAGAACGTGGCCGTGTACAGCCTCCGGGCGCTGGCGGTGGACCGCGGCAGCCCCGCGCCGCTGAGCGCCTCGGTGGATATCCAGGTGACCGTGCTGGACATCAACGACAACCCCCCTGTGTTCGAGAGGGATGAGCTGGAGCTCTTTGTGGAAGAGAACCGCCCGGTGGGGTCAGTGGTGGCCAGGATCCGAGCCAATGACCCCGACGAGGGGCCCAACGCCCAGATCATGTACCAGATTGTGGAGGGCAACGTGCCCGAGGTCTTCCAGCTGGACCTGCTCAGCGGCGACCTGCGTGCCCTGGCCGATCTGGACTTTGAGGTGCGGCGGGAGTATGTGCTGGTGGTCCAGGCCACATCAGCGCCACTGGTCAGCCGGGCCACCGTACGGGTGCGCCTGCTGGACCAGAACGACAACCCGCCGGTGCTGCCCGACTTCCAGATCCTCTTCAACAACTACGTCACCAACAAGTCCAACAGCTTCCCCAGCGGCGTCATCGGCCGCATCCCGGCCCACGACCCCGACCTCTCCGACAGCCTCCGCTACAGCTTCCTGCAGGGCAACGAACTGCGGCTGCTACTGCTGGACCCAGCCTCTGGCGAGCTGCAGCTCAGCCGAGACCTGGACAACAACCGGCCGCTCGAAGCGCTCATGGAGGTGTCCGTGACGGGTGAGTGGCTCTGTGGGGACAGGGCCAGGAGCTGGGGCCACCTCTCCCCCACCCCATGGGCTGGGAGCACACCCGGGCTTTTTCGAGTTCAAAGCGGAGGTGCTTGGGTCTCCCTGTGAAGGCCCGTCTGGGCTGGCTGGCGAGGCTCTGCAGCCAGCCGCACGGCTGTCTGGGCAGATCAAAGGTCACCGGCTGCCCCACGTGCCAATTAGTTCTCGGGTGGGACCGTTGGGAACTGGCGCTTGGGTCCCTGAGTCACCCGGTAATGGGCCTTTGCTTTCAGGAGCTCCCTAGGCCTGGCATTTCTGTCTCCTCCAGTTAATAACCACCGGGCTGAGGTGTACTGGCTCAGTGTGCAAAGCTTAGCCCCATTTGATCTCGGCCTTGGCTCCTGAACTCGGGCTTATAATTTGGGTGTTACTTCAGAGACCTGCTCAGCTTGGCGGCAGAGCCCTTGTGGGAACCCTGCTCACCAGGCCCTGGGGCTGGCGGGGAGCGGTCCGGGGGAGGGAGAGCTGGCTCAGCACGCCAAGCATTCAGAGGCAGAGAGTGGTCCCCATGCCACTGGACTCCAGCCAGGCGAGGGGAACAACAAGCCGGTGTGAATGAGAGAGCAGGTTCTTAGGGTGCAAGAGAGCACCCCAGCACTTCTACCCAGGGCTGTGAACATCTGGGGCTGGCGAGTTGCCTTAGTAATGACGCTAAGGCATTATGATCCCCCGAGCAAGTGTGGATCTGGGCGGCTGGAGGTGGTGTGTCCGATGAGCTCGGTCTTTCTGGAACATTTCCCTGGAATGCGGATGAACATTTGCAGAGGGTGATAGCAGCCCATTCGACACTTTATCCACATTTTCTTTCACCCCTCCATGCCACAGCCGGCTTCCTGTGCCCCCACCCCACCCGGGCTCCCCATTTCCATGTGTCCATCTTCCCCACTCCTTGGGGTCCTCTGAGCTCTGTGGTCTCAGCTGATTGCCTGTTTCAAGAATCCCTTTCCATGGAGGTGTTCCTGCTTGAGATATAGGCCTGTCTATTGTTTGGCTGAAAAGCGAGCCGTGGGGCAGGTTTAATTCCAGGCTTGAAGGGCTTGAAGGTTCTACCAGTCTCTAGCTGACCAGTTAGGTTGGTCTTCTTTATGATTCTGGATTTTGTTCAACATTTTTCTCCCACTCGGCCTAGGACCTTCCACTGTGACCCAGATCCGAGCAGTTGGTCATGGTAGCAGGGCACCGTCTAGCTCTTGTGGTCTCAAGCTAATGGAGACTGGTTCCTGTGATCTAAAGGACCTTTGAACTAATGGTGTCTTTGAATGTTATTTTCTTCATTCTTCTTTCATTCGATGGGAAGGGGCAGTAATTACATTTTAGATGGCTGTTTGCAAGCTTTTAAGAGCGCAGCTGCTACTCACCGAGGTAGGGTATAAACAGTGTTGCCTTCATGGACTGTGTCTTGCCGATGGGATTACAAGCTATGACCCAAAACTGATGAGTTCTTGAAAAACGATACATTACTGTGCACTCAGAATACAGGCAGCCCCCAGATTTGGGAATGTGCAGTTTACATACACCCCCAGTTAGGAACCCACCTCCACAGAGCCTGTGATATTAATTCTAGGCACAATGATCTATAACACAGATCGTTGCTACTTTGTGATGTTATTATTATTATGACTGCATTGTTATATTTACAGAGATGTATTACTATATCTGGAGATATTCCTTTCATGTTTTTTTAATCATTTTATTGGGGGTTCATACAGCTCTTATCACAATCCATCCATCTATTGTGTCAAGCACATTTGTACATATGTTGCCCTCATCATTCTCAAAACATGTTCTTTCTACTTGAGCCATTGGTATCAGCTCCTCATTTTTCCCCTCCCTTACCCGCCCTCCCTTCCTCACAGACCCTTGATAATTTATAAATTATTATTATTTTTTCATGTCTTACACTGTCCTTCCATGTTTTTAAAACACGCCTACATAGAAACAAACCCATATAAGAAGGTAAGTGTTCTGCTAACGAATCATACCTGTTCTGATTTAAGCTCAAATTTGCCTTAAAGACAGAACTGTCCACCATCTGAGCGCTGCCTGTCCTATATCCCCCAGCAAATCTTGGGAGAATTACAAGCATTAGTTTTCTGAAGGACTTTGATTTCCACCCTCAAGTCGATTCCAACTCACAGCGACCCTCTAAGACAAGATACAAGTGTCCCAGTGAGTTTCTGAGACCGCCACTCTTCCCCCCACCACCCCAAGACCGCCACTCTTCAGATATAGATGGCCTCATCTTTCTCCCACAGAGAGGCTGGTGCTTTCGAACTGCTGACCTTGTAGTTAGCAGCCCAACACGTGACCACTAGGCCACCAGGGCTCCTATGCTTTCTGTCTCCCCGCCATCAAGCTGATTTTGCGTGGAGCTGGAGCGGCGATGGCTTCCTGCTGGTGCACCACAGGTCTGTCCCCAGGGCAGGGTTGGGGCGCCGGCTCTGCGTCTTCAGCCAACACCTTCGAGTAAGAGGCAGATCGAGGCTCTGTGTGTCCATCCCTTCAGATAATCAGTCACCTTCTCCTGGGTTCTTCCGGGGTCCCAAGCTGTTTTCTCGCGTCGAGTTGCCGGTTCGGAAACCCACGGGGGCAGTTGGACCGTGTCCTCTAGGGCCGCTAGGAGTCAGCACTGACCAGATGGCAGTGAGTCCGTTTGGGGTTTCCACCCGGTTGTCTGTTCCTCCAGTGATTGTGAGGACAGGGAGGGGTGTCATGCTGCCTCCGCCCCGCCCACTTTACAGATGATGAGACTGAGGCTCAGAGGAGCAGAGCTTCCTGCACGGCTCTCTGGGCGCCAGGGGAGCCCTCCCCATGAAACAAGCACCTGTGGGGTCCCCCCCCCTTTACCTTGGAGAACACGCTGGGAAACCTGGGTGGCTGAACCCTCCCACTCCAGTGCCTACCTCTCTCAGCACCTCTCTGGACTAGATTTGATGCCCTGGAGAAGTGGAACAAACCCTCGTCATTCTCAAAGCCCGGCGCCCAAGCAGAACAAAAGATCCGCCCTGGGGTTTGCCGGAGTTGGCTGCTCCTCAGGCACAATGGGGACGTGGTTGCTCAGACGGCAGCCTTCTTTCCAGTGAGCGGTTGGGCTCTGGGTTTACAGACGTGCCCTAAATAAAGCCAGAGTGCCACTTCCGGCTATCAGGGTGCCGAGGGAAGAGCCAGGCTGGCTTTGGGGTTTTAGGGGAGTGATTCTGGAAGGGCTGTGAGAGCCTGCTGAGGGTGGGGGCTAGGGTAGGTCCACCTGAGGGTGGTACACCTGGCTAGAGTATGCCTGGGGAGCAGGTCAGGGCTTTTAACTCAGCCACAGGGACTTGGCAAACAGTGTTGGTGCTTGTTCTGTTGCCCCCAAGTATAGAAGACCAGATGAAAATGGCGCGAGGGCCGTGGACAGCTAAGCGCAGTAGTCCCCTATCTGGGGGTTCCAGGCAGTGATGGAGATGACTTCTGAATGAGGTTTTCCGTTCTGTGGTAGGAACTTGGTAGGATGGATCCTTTTAGAAGCAGCGTGGGCCTTCTTTCTGTTGCAGCCTGGCTGATAGCCTGGTGGGAAATGCCAGCCCCAGCCATCCCTGCGGTGCCGAGGCCAGGGCTAGCGTGGGAGGTTGGCGAAGTCTTCGGAAGCGTTTGCCTCTCAGGGGGTTGATTCCAGTTGATGGCTGAGGCTGTGGGGAACGGGCCGTGTCACAGGCATTGCCTGGGTGCACAGTGGCGCTTTGGCTTTCCAGTGCTCACCTTCAAGGAGCCCTGGTGGCGTGGCAGTGACACGCTGGCCTGCTCACTGCAAGGTCAGCAGTTCGAAATCACCAGCCGCTGCTCGGGAGAAAGACGAGGCTTTCTGCCCTCATAAAGAGTGACAGTCTCGGAAACCCGCAGGGGCAGTTCTGCCCCGTCCTACGAGGTCACTGTGAGTCAGAATTCTCTCGGTGGCAGTGAGTTTGAAGTTTAGTGTTCATCTTGTGGAAAAGACAAAATAAAACAAACCAAAAAACCCGCGGCCGATTCCAACTCTTTATGGGAGTAGAAAGCCTAGTGTTCCTCTCTCAGAGGAGCTCGCGGTTTCAAACTGCTGACCTTGCAGTAGCACCCAGCATGTGACCACCACACCTCTGCGGGGCTCCTAGCCATCAGATCAAACTGAGAACAAACAAATGGCTCATGCCACGGAGTCTGTGCTGAATCACAGCAACCTTACAGGACAGGGTTAGGGTTAAGGCAAGGGTTAGGGTTGGTTCCTGAGATTGTAATTCTCTCTTTAAAAAAAAATCATTTTATTGGGGTCTCTTACAGCTACTGGAACAACCCATACATCCATCGTATCAAACACATTTGTACACATGCTGCCACCATCCTTTTCAGAACACTTCTTTCTACTTGAATCGAAACTGTAACTCTTCACAGGAGTGGAAACCTCATCTTTCTCCCTTGGAGTAGCTGGTGGTTCTGAACTCTGGGCCTCGTGGCCTTGTGGTTAGCAGCCCAACGAGTGACCACTATGCCATAAGGGCTCCTGGTGGCCCCCGTGCTCTAAAACACTCCAAACTCACTGCCGTCGAGTGGATGTGGACTCATAGTGACCACCTGCCGGTTTCCAAGACCGTAACTATTTACGGAAGTAGAAAGTCCAGTCTTTCCCCTGGCCCTCGCCTTAGGGCTGAGTTTATCATGTGTTGGACCAGTAAGGCCCACAGATGATGTTCTAAATATCCAAATGGCTCTTGACAGAGCAAAGGTGGCTCACCCTGTGTGTAAGTCTTTACGGAGGAGAGAGCCAGCCTCCTCTTTCTCTCATGGAATGGCTGGTGGGTTTGAACGACTGACCTTGGGGCGAGCTGCTTTGCAAAGAACCCATGATGCCACCGGGAGTCCTATGGGGTCACTGTGAGTCCGCATCCACTCGATGGCAGTGAGTTTTTAAGACACTGGAAAGGAAAAACCAGCTGCCAT